ACTATCTCGAAAAGCTGAAACTGCCTGCCAATTTCTTCTGTAACTGTCTTCACACGTCCTAAACTCCGTTATTTTAATAGTTATCAATGTGATTCTCGCCCATGATGTTTCCCACGTTCCTGAACAGTTGATGGCCACGTGTTATGCAGTTATTTTAGCAATTTTTGAACATTTCAGGGCTGTCTCGCGTGCGAGACAGTCCACGCTGTCTCGCGTGCAAGACAGTCCACACTGTCTCACGTGCATCTCGTGTGCGAGACAGTCTACACTGTCTTGATCTTTTCGAGACAACGTCAGGCCATTTCTTATGATCTTTGGATGATCCTCTCTCTGCCTTGAGCTGTATTTGGATATCTATCAGCCCCCTTTTTTTAGACGCCTATGGTACATCCAACGGTCAAGTCAGCCGGTAAACTTGAGGAGGGTTTTTTGAGAGGTCCTTAGGCCATTGAGGTCCTTGCAGGGGGTTCCTCCCTAAGAGTTATTAAATTTTCTCTTTATGAAAAAGAAGACCGAAAGGGGAGTAAAGCTCAGGTGTAAGAAGCAGAAATCAGCCTCTCCTGCCCTTACCCTCCTTACCTCTTTTTTATAGTCCATTGCCTCTGAGATTTAGGCTTTTCTTTTGCACAGGGGGCAGTTGCAGGGTGGGCAGATAGACTGCTCGGTCATCCTTTCCTCTCCAGATGGCAGTTGGTGATTGGAGGGGAAGTCATTCGAATACAGGAGACAGATGTCCTCTCAGTATCCTGGATTTGACAGATGAGGCAGAGCAGAGGATAGTCCCGCTGCTCGGTCGTCCTTCCCTCTCCAGATGGTAGTTGGTGATTGGAGGGGAAGCCATTCGAATACAGGAGAGAGATGTCCTCTCAGTATCCTGTATTTGACAGATGAGGTAGGGCAGATGATAGGCTCGCTGCTCGGTCGTCCTTCCCTCTCCAGATGGCGGTTGGTGATTGGAGGGGAAGTCATTCGAGCCCAGAAGAACATCATGGCGATCCCAGAGAAGTGACTTATGAGTAGAATAAGCGGCTTGTGCAGGGATTTGTCAGAACGGAGATCTTGATGGGACTGATTAGTGCTATTGTGTTGATTGACATCTGAGGTGAGCTTAGCTGGATCTTATCCCCTTAGTAGAGGCGAGTCGGTTCGTGAGTTGTCTTTGTGATTTCCCGACTCGATACCCGAGTGAGATTCGGATCGAGTGTATAGTCGAGACGTTTGTTAGAGGAGTCGTCTTGATTACGAGGGACCGACTGGTCCCGCACTTCAAGTCGATAATGATGATCCTTGGTCAAAAATGACTCGTCCGCTCGACTGGCCGGTAGACTTGCCCTAAGGGAGTAAGGTGCTGACAATGTCCGATGAGTTATATGATGACTTAGACTGTGCTTTTAATGTGATGACGATTGGCTGTCGGCGAGGGGTTCCAAAATGGTTGTCTTCCATCTCGACTTTGTGAGAGGGCCGAGAAAAGGCGCCTTTTGTCTCGACCTTCGAGGGAGAGAGAGAGAGAAATCAGTGTGTCTGGATTGAGTCGGTGTATAGTCTGCTTGAGATACGTGTCAGCTAGTTGAATGTGATTAGCACTTGCTTATTTCTATGGCACAACAAATAGGAATTCTAATTTACTGTTAAAATAATATAGGACATGTGGTATTGTTTCATGTGCTTAGGTATTGTATTTTTTGGCTTTAGGAATACCACAGATTTCTCATTACGTCAAAGAGGGATTAGTTCGTATTCGGCTAGTCACGTAAAAAGCACATAACCGTCATATTTTTTGCTACATTTTAATTTGATGCTTCGTTCTGCTAAATAGTATCAGAGCTCTTCCACACCATTTGTCATTTAAAAAAAGAAGAAGAAAAAGAATCTAATCAAAAGAAATCATCCTATCTATTCTTCTATACAAATGGGAGGATCAGAGAATTACTGCTCATGCTACAGTAATTCTCTCTCCTCCCATTTGTATCCACCTCAGCTCACATTTCAAAATTCAAAACCCACCCCTATACTTCTCTCTCTTCTCACCCCGCTACTCATCTCCAGAATCCCAACGATTCCTCCGTCTCCTCTCCTCCTCCACTCCCTCATCCACCTCCGGAGAAGGCGACGCCGACTTCGAGCTCGAGCAGATCCAAACCCTAACCCTAACCTTATCCCAAGCCCAAGCCCTAGCACCTCTATCCACCACCATTCCCCTCTAAACCCTAGCCCTAACTCCTGCACAAGCAGATCGCCACGCTCACTGTTCCATCGGAAGTGCAACTTCGGCATCCTCACCTCTTTGCCGAAGGATTCCAAGGCCAGAAGCCCTAACCCTAAGTTCCTCCAGCGGCAACACTTCAATCCCGTCGGCGTCATCATCGGCATCGACATCACCGTCTTCCTCAGCGAGGATGTTGTTGTCTTCTCTCTCTCTCTCTGTCCAATCATCTCTCCCTTTCTTTTCTGTCCTCCCTCTTTCTTCCTCTATAAGCTTTACTGAGGGATTAGAGTGGGATTCTTGGGGTCCGATTCAGAATTGAAGTATAGGGTTCCAATTACGACTTCTGCTACGCACGGTAATGTGCTTAAAACCCCTTAATTTTGATGATTATTGTGATGGGTTTAGTTGCTGCTGAATTTTTCTCTATTAGAATGTTGATTTTGCATTTTTTTGGTTCCCATCAAGTGATGATTGAAGTATCTAGCTGTTTATGTGAAAAAGTTTGGATTTATCTGCAATTGATTATAAATTGGTGGGTTTATGATGCATTTGTATGCTTGATCAGTCTTTCACCCTGAGGAAGTTGCTAATAATATTGTTGAATCAATTGAAATTGCTTGATTGTTAGAGAAAAAAAGGGAAATTTGTTAATTGGGCGGGTCTTATGAAATTGGAGAGGAAAATTCAGTAGTATTAACTAATTTTTATCATCATAGAGGCAATTCTAAACAAATCATTAATGTCAAAAAGTCTGAAAAAGTTAGGAGGTTAATGAAGTTGGAAGTTTTATGATTCATTTTAAGTGTAGGAAATATAGAGAAACGAAAGAAGATATATGAAAAAGAAAGTAAAATAATTAGTAATAAGAAAGATGAAGTTACATCTCTAATTAGGCACCAATTGTTGCAATTGACAAGTAGCAGCAGACTAGCAGTTTTGTTTATTAGTATAAACTTTAAAAGTATTGAGGGATTAGTGATTATGATTGTTTTTATATGTTTATGGAATTTTAAAACAGTAACACATACTATGATGAGGAAGCAACAATCTTTCTTTGAGAAACACTTTGTTTGAAATACAAAGTGCAACTGAAAATTTACAATCTTTTAAACAAACCCTCATTCTATGTGTTCATTGTTTGATGCATCTATTCCTCTATACAAATGATTAATGTTTGTCATTGTTTCAGGAAATTGAGATGAATTTGGTGATTACAGACTATTGTATGCGAAAATAAGGTACTCCTTTTCTAATAAAATTGGGAGACATGTATTGATGCAAAAAAAATATAAACTCTTGATTCTGTACAAAAAATCCAATACATTCTGCAGCACTTCAATCAAATTGCAAAAAATATATAAAGCTAGGCTTTCTTTTGTATGCAGAATTAGGTTTGTTCAATACCAAATATATTTTGGAGTACACACTCCACATAGACTAATTCTGTTGCCCATAGCAGCAGTAGTATGCCAATTTTCTCAATTTGTTTGCATTGTACACAGGCTAAGCAATGTGAAGAGCTCCATAGTATTCTTAAACATAATATTGTTTAGAAGTAACTACATTCAATTATAAGCATTAAGCATGATGGGGATTCATAATCAACTCCACGCATAAATGCTTTAGAGATAAGATATTAGAAATAGAAGCCTGCTCAGAGAGAGAGATAGAGGAATTAAAGACACTGCAAACAAATTGCTCTATGATTTGATTTTCCAATCCATTCTCTACTAAACCTATTTGGGTTGGTGATTTGATTTGTTTAGCATGGCTACTAACTAAAAGCTAGATGCTTAATGACATTATCCCTATGTTGCAGTGACACAAATAGACAAAGACACTGCATGTAGTTAGTTAATTCTGAACACACACACACACACACAAACACAAACACAAGGTAGACTTCTCTGGAATGCGATGCAACATGCATTTATGATACATGTTACATATTATGATCTTAAATCTTAAGATACTCCAGGTTAATACATGAATAGAAAACACAATTGCTCTATGATTTCTATTTGAGAAATGTTGCCTTTCATTGCATTTGCATTTTCATGTCTGGCTTCTCCGGTTCATACGTGCATCACTCCACCATGATGCTTTAACTGTCCTTATTTGTTTTTTTCATTTTAGAAAATCATTATCACTATCATATATTTTATTTGAGAAGAACTATTTACAGACTCGAGGATAGACTACTGATATTAATCATTTTATGTTTTTCTACAAATTGCAGATTTCTGGAAAGAAGCTTTGACATTAAGTTCATTACATCATTCAAATGTTGTATCTTTTTATGGTGTAGTCTGTGATGATCCTGATAGGAGTTTAGCAATTGTCACAGAATTCATGGTCAATGTATCTCTAAAGCAATTTTTGCAGAAAAAATATAGGTACAAGCTTTATATGATCTTTGTGTAGTTCTGTTTGCTTGCAGTTGCCATATACTATAGGATGTTTATTAGCGGTTTTAACATGTATTTGGCGGATGCCAACTATGTTTAATAGTTAACAACATCTGTTATTAGCAGAACGATTGATCGTCGCAAAAGGCTAATAATTGCAATGGATGTTGCATTTGGGATGGAGTACCTGCACGGAAAGAATATTGTCCATTTTGATCTTAAGTGTGAGAATTTGTTAGTAAATATGAGAGATCCTCAACAGCCTATTTGCAAGGTAGGGAAAATAGTTTGTCTCAATCTCTGATTTGTGTCTGCAAGCTATATTGCACACCAATCTAATTGTTGACATTGAGGAGATTGAGATAATTTATGTGCACAAAGTTGTGAAGAGACTTGATAGGGGATATTAGATATTAATTTGTTAATGATGTGACTAACACAATCTTAGGATAAATTGAGTGTTGTGAGAAATAAGTTTGTTTGATGCTTTACACTTGGATCTACTCCTCTATACTTATAGGAGGATCCTAAGATTCATATTCATACACATGAAATACTTCTTTTAGCATGGTGAAGATGCTAATTTCTATTTATAATGATTAAATTTAATTTAGCTAATCGAAATACTTCTTTTAGCATGGTGAAGATGCTAATTTCTATTTATAATGATTAAATTTAATTTAGCTAATCTTAATAGTGCCTAATTCTATTCATATCCCTTTCTATTTATAATGATTAAATTTAATTTAGCTAATCTTAATAGTGCCTAATTCTATTCATATCCCTAACTCTTACGTTTAAATTTGATTTAGGTATTTTTTGCTTTTTTTAATGAAGATTTGGTTGCTAAGTTTTAATAGGTTTTGTTTGTTCGTGTGTTAGGGATTGGAGATTGATTACGTCAGAGATGATGATGGATGGATCGAATCAGACAGTTGACTTGGTTCATCACAGTTATGAAATAGTAATTTTATTTCACTTTTCAATTTTTAATTTTAAATAAATTTTTCACACATTTATGCACTGAAAAGATTGACCTTTTATTGTGCTATTTCGGTTTCAATTTCGAGTAGTTATTTGATCTTTAGAAATTGGTTAATGATGACTAGGGATGATATAACCATGAAGATAAAAGCTAAAGTTTCTAAATTTCGTCAATGACAGTTAAGAATCATTTTTAGAAATTTAGGAGAGCTTTTGTTGAGGAGAAAATGAAGATTTCTTCTGCCACAGTTGGCGAGAGAATGAACTATTGATATGTGCTCGGATCTGAAGATTTCCTCTGTCAAAATTTTGTTCATTTTCTATTTATTTCTCTTTAACATTAATAACAAATCTTTGAAAGGGCACATTAATAAAGAGATTATTATACTTAGTTGATGATTTATGGTAGTGAATTTTAATATTTGATAATATTTTTTTGGACATGTCAATTATCATATTCTATAATTTTTCTCTTAGAATTAGTGATAGGGAACTTTTATGGTTTTCAGGTGATGGAGAAGGTCGTTAAGAAGATCTCGGAATAGGAAATTTCCACGCCTAAATAATGCAAGACCCCGTTTAAGCCTGCAATAGTTCTATTTCAGGTTTTGCTCTTATTTTCCTTCTATTTACTGGCTTTGTTTATTCCCCCCCCTAATGATAAATATATGATATTATAATGTTTGTCTTTGAGGCACGATATTAAGATGTTAGTTTGTATTATTTTGTATGATGAAGTAAAATATGCATCAAGAGATAACTCCTTCGTAAAAAATCATGATTGGTTGTCACTCAAGTGACTGACTCATGAATATATGTTATATTGAATGTAAAGTTTAGTTGCTATATTGTTTTATTAGGCCATTATGTGTGAGTTGTTGGAGTAGTATTGTTATATTTGCACCATGAAATATTATTAGGCATCTATTTTTCAAATGCAACTCATTGGAAGTTCTCCATATCAGTTTGCATAAAAATAAAATTGAGATCAAACAACTTTAACGGATTGTAGAAAAGAGGCGAGGGTCGTGCTTGGCACGGGGTACATACTACTAGTAGAATCTAATGGTTAAACAACAGGTGGGAAAAAGAAAAAAAAAAACAGAGAAGAGGATACGGACGCGCGCGACTCAGGATTATACTAGCAGAACACGTGTGATCCCCATCTCACGGTCTCTGTAGATTCTTGGTATTTTTCATATATATATATATTAAAATTTCTAATTTAGGGATTTACTATCCATTTTCAGCATCTAAGAATAGTCTAAGTTGATACTGGTAAACAAAAACAATAAGAATTGATTAAAAACATCTGGTTAATGGATAAATTTTTTAAAAATATTATAGATTAAAAATTATCGGCACTATATAAATTAAATTAATTTTATATAATTTTAGTAATAAGTTGGGGTAGCCAAAATACATTCGTAACATTAATTGATATATGTTTAAATCCATAGAAATTATAAAACACTATAATAGTATACCTTAGCATTAATTGATTTTAATTTAGAAACTTTAATCTTTGATGTTAATAATATTTATAGGGTAAAAGAATACAAGGAATTACATATGGAGAAACTATTAGAATATTTAGGGATAACTTTAAAAGAATTGAGTTATTTCCATTGCAAATGGGAAAGTGATGGAAATAAATCTAAAATTCAGAAAACGTCAATGAATCACTTGAATTGGCATTAACATAAGACATATCTATTAATGAAGCACTGAATGAGTTACATTAAAAAATAATTTAATAACTTTATCCTAATCAAAGAAAAAATCTCCATGGAAGACATAAGAAAAATTAGTAAGTATTCATAAATTCCATACTGTGTTCTTCAAATCTGAGGGCGAGGTTGGAGGAGGGAGCCGGGCTCAGGAGGCCGAGGCCTTGATCCGGAGCGTGACCCCTACAAAGAGAGTTGTGTATAGGACGACTAGACCGGGAGATATCAAGACTCCATATGAGAAGATGCTCGAGAATCATGTGGAGTTTGGCTCGCCAGACAAGCGCTCTGGTGGTTTCTTCAACTCAGCTCTGGTAAGCTGAAGAACAGCATCGTTATTATTTAAAAAAAAAATACAAGTTCTTGATTGTGGAGGGGGAAAAAATGCATTTTTAATTGTTCTTCTATCACTCGTGGCATTGTGTAAGCTTAGAAATGAAAACAGCGTTCTTGCAAAGTTGCAATAGAGGGAACGCTTGTACTACTACCATGAGTTCTTGAAATACTTGCTGAAACTTTATCGGAGGATGTATGTTTTGTATCTGAACAACATCCAATGTTGATAATGACGTGCATTTTTTTAATCACCACCACGTGTTCGTGGAGGAATATTCTGTGAATTATGAGGGACAAGAGGAATGAAGAACTATCAGGTAAAGTGGAGAGTAGCATTTATTGAGGACAAGAACAATTACTCACTCTTTCTAGAAGACAAGGATGTGTCTTGATCAACACCAAGAAGATATCAATAATTAGATGTAGTGAAAACCAACTATGTCAAAGAGATCGGTTCATGGAAACATAAGAAATTGAATATTTGTTCTCGGCATTGCATCATCAGACAGGAAGTTTTTAGTGCTGACGCAATGTATTTGTGCATTGCGTGACGGGACAATGATTAAATTGCTTATGTTGTACTCATCAAATCTTAGCACAATGCTTTAAAACTAGCGGATTCGTTTCTCTACTATTTTACATTGATCTATTGGAGAAAGAAAGTCCTGTGATAATTCTTATTTATCCTTCCACAGGTTGCTCTTTTCTATATTGCCTTACTTGCAGGTCTTCTCCAGCGCTTCCCGATAAGTTTTTCCCAGGTATGAATGAACACAGTGCTTTACTCCTTATCCCTCGAAACAGGTTCCATGAAAACTATGATTACTCCTGATGTCACATTCGCTTTGCAGCATACTGCAGGCCATTTGAGGAACCGCAAAACTTCAGGACCTGGCGGAGCAAAAGTAGTTGATAATGCAGATGTAGTTACTTTCTCTGATGTGGCTGGTGTCGATGAGGCTAAAGAAGAGCTGGAAGAAATTGTGGTATAGCGGGTCACTTTTTTTTAAGGTGCTTCTATCCATAATATTTTTATCGATAATGGTCTTATGTGCTTGTAATTAATTCTCAGGAGTTCCTTAGGAGTCCAGACAGATATATAAGACTTGGCGCTCGTCCTCCTCGGGGAGTGCTATTGGTGAGGCTACTAACTTGGCAGAATGTGTAAATTTGTGAGGTTAATGATTATGGACATAACAACACAATTTCTACAGGTAGGTCTCCCTGGCACTGGCAAGACTCTTCTAGCAAAAGCTGTAGCTGGGGAAGCAGATGTACCATTTATAAGTTGTTCTGCAAGCGAATTTGTAGAGCTGTATGTGGGAATGGGAGCTTCTAGAGTGAGAGATCTATTTGCAAGGGCAAAGAAGGAGGCACCATCAATAATTTTCATAGATGAGGTCAAAATTGCACACTTGTTGTTGACAGTACCTTATTTAGAGTTTCCTGTTCGTTAATTATTTTCTCATGTCTTTCCTTTTGCAGATAGATGCCGTGGCAAAAAGCCGTGATGGTCGATTTCGCATTGTCAGCAACGATGAACGGGAACAAACATTAAACCAGTTACTCACTGTAAGGCCATCGGAGATGTTGTAACTTCAGTTGCTGGTGTCTTTTGTTTCTTTAATAGCGTGCTCTGCAATTTTTTTTATTAATGACTCACACTCCTATTACAGGAAATGGATGGATTTGACAGCAATTCCGCAGTTATAGTCCTTGGCGCAACTAATCGTGCAGATGTTCTAGACCCTGCACTTCGTCGTCCTGGGAGATTTGATCGTGTAGTAATGGTACAAGTTTCTGTGTTTTCTCTTAGGGGTTACATTTTCTAACAGACTAAAATTGTGTTATGCCTCATGGTTAACTGTTTTTTGTTTTTCTATGTTAGGTGGAAACTCCTGATAGACTTGGAAGAGAGGCTATTTTGAAAGTTCACACTAGCAAGAAGGAGCTTCCTCTAGCGGGAGATGTGAATCTCAGTGACATTGCATCTATGACCACTGGTTTTACTGGGTAACTTTACAATTTGTTTTATCTCACTTGCAATTCTATTTCCCATTCATTTGACAGGTATGTTTGGTTGAAATGTGCAGAGCAGATCTAGCAAATCTGGTAAATGAGGCAGCTTTATTGGCTGGAAGAGTGAATAAAGTTGTGGTGGAGAAGATAGATTTTATCCAAGCAGTTGAACGTTCTATAGCTGTATGTCTGACTATATTTTCGTTTCGTCTTAGTAGTCTAATTTTCTCTACTGCAACTTTTACTGCTGGGCCTTTCTATCTATTTCACATGGATGCCATTATCCCATCTCCATTTTCACAATCCACTAGTTTAGTTAAACTGACCACCTCTATTTATTTGCTGGCTTATTATTGTTTTTTACTTTTTCCCAGTATAATATGTAGTCCCCCCTGCTTTCAGCACATACTTTCATTAATAGTTGAAAAATTGGTTGACGAAATGGTTTAAACTGCCAAACCAAGCATCACAATAAACTAATCTTTTGCTTTTGTATATCTGTCCCTCTCTTTAGCTACCATTTTTAATGCCTGGCGGTTTGCATCATAGGGCATTACATGTAGAAACAATGCCGGATCCAGAAGCTTTTTCCTTTTGGGGGGGTGGGGGTGGACAATGAGTGTTTATTTACCTAAAATAAAAATATAATATTATAAAACTATAGTGTCTTATGTGAATGTGCATAGCACACTTTATTGTTGGAATTATAGATGGGCTTTTACTTTCCAATTAGCTACTTCAAATTATTATTAATTTTTTTAGTGTTTTTAGACAGTTTGTGGGCATTGGGTGCTATTTTTAAATTTTTTTTTGGGGGGGTGGTGGTGGTGGTGCATGATTTTTCATGCAATTTTGTAAATGTTTAGGGGTGAAACTGCACCCTAGCTAGGCTTTGGATTCGCCTCTGTGTAGAAACATATACTTTACACGGAAGATTCTTGTCTTTACTGTTTTTCTTTTGAGCCACATTGAAGAAACAATTCTCATTACCTTTTAACTATTCATTCTATCTCAATCTCCTAACTCCACACAATACACTTGATGTTAGAACAAGCTTGTGGCTTTTGTCACTTTGTCAGGAGCACAGCTTCAGCTGATTCTTTCAGCCTCAACTTATAGAATCCAACACATTAAAGAAAAGATTAATCAATAGATGCAGTTAATATTATTCTTTCCGACTTATGAGATCAACTATCAGCTAAAACAGATCGTTTATTCTCTTTAGCATAAATCCATAAAATCATTTTCCAGCATGTTGTAACATTGATGCATGTGAATCTTTCCAGTTGCTATCATAAAATTTTGCTGCAAGTTTCTTTTATTAAGTATCCAATTAAATCTGGTTTGCTATTTTACCAAGGGAATGAACCCATTTGTACTTTTTGTTATTAGACTCTAGTGTTGTTTGAGCTTTCAGTGAAAAAAAGAAGATTTTAACAGGGAATGAGAATCCACTCGGTTGAACAAGTACACTCTTTTGTTGATTTCATTTAATATTCTGGACTCAAATAAGTCTGGAGTCAAATTCCAGATGGTAAACACTGACATATTTTCAGACAAGAAAAGGAAAAAGGAAACACTCATTGGGAATATGGGTACACCCTTTTCTTGCTCCATTAATATTTTTGATATTTATGAGTCCTGTCACTGAAACAATTGAAGATTTGAACTTCCTTCAAGGTCTTTCTCAAGTAAGAGGTGCTTGTTGGCATCATATAACATATTATCGTACAAAACCAAGAATCCAGATGTTTTTTGGGTTTGTCAAGCATGGAGTACAGATAATGGTGGACAATTTAAGCTACAGAATATGGCTTTTTGACGTATTATCACAATGAAGGGCCCACCTAGCGTTATTTTCTGATAATAAGCTTGAAACCCACATGATCCAAAATGGGAAACGACTTTTGAGGTCTTAGGCCTTTTGTCTAGCCCCTTATCTGTCATTTACCATACTTGAGGCTGGACTAAAGCTATAACACCCACCTAAACCTTCAATATGGAGCAAGACGCTTAAATGTCAGTACTTAGCATCCCTGGTAGGAGATGATATCAAGACTGTTGTCTCAAAAGAGACTGTTCGGAAACAAAGGATGAAACTTGAAAGAGATAAAATACTTTCCTATTCACCAGCTCCACAGGTTTAAAGTTTTGAAGTCAGGTTTGCGCCTATGGCTTTTGCTCTGAGAGTGATTCTAAGAGGTTTCTGTTCTAAGGGTTCTTCCATGAAAACCCCATAGCGTCAGAATTGAGAGTGTTTGATACTAAGTTTGCATAAATTTTCTTCCAGGGAATATCAATTCTGATGATGGTGATTTCCATCTTACGTATAAGCTAGGAACTAAGAAGCTGTTACAAATTCTAAGGTGATGTTCAACTTTATTCTTCCAATGCACTTAGAGGGAGGTTCAGTAGAAACCTTAGTTCTTTTCATCTTGATAGTAGCACAGTATTTTCGCTATGTGCAAATCCTAATAGTCAGCTACTTAGTTCTATGAAGATATACTTGTAAATATGTAAATTACTTTTAATTTCGTGGGTTCACATCATGGTACTTGGATAATTAGTATAAGATCCAAATTTTGTTAGGGAATAAAATTAGTTATGCAGAAAGGTTGAGCGACTCCGAGGCACATATTTTATGAAAAGTTGATTAGAAACTATGCACTTTCAATTCTAAACTTTTTGTTATATTTTAGATTTCTAGAAGTGATGGTAGAGGAATTACCTTTTCTTGTCTATTTTATTTGATCTTTTCACTGCAATATAAAATAGAAATTAATGGAAGTATACATCTTCAGGGTATAGAGAAGAAACATGCAAAGTTACAAGGCAACGAAAGAGCTGTTGTTGCAAGACATGAAGCAGGGCATGCAGTTGTGGGAACTGCTGTTGCAAATTTGCTTCCTGGACAGCCACGCGTTGAGGTGACACTTGAGTATCACCTGGTCAATGTTCACTATAGTTCCATTCTGCTGCTTGTTTAAATGATTCACATCTTCATTCTGTCACCAGAAACTCAGCATATTGCCCAGATCAGGAGGTGCGTTGGGTTTCACATACACACCGCCCACCACAGAGGACAGATATCTACTCTTTGTTGATGAATTACATGGTCGACTGGTAACCCTATTAGGAGGCCGTGCAGCTGAAGAAGTTGTTTACTGTGGCCGTGTGTCAACTGGGGCTCTTGATGATATAAGACGAGCAACTGATATGGCCTACAAAGCTATTGCTGAATATGGACTGAGCCCAACCATAGGCCCAATATCAGTAACTACTCTGTCTAATGGTGGACTTGATGAGTCTGGTGGGGGAGCACCATGGTCAAGGGATCAGGTACATTCTATATCTTTTTTATTTATATTTTTAATGCATCAAAGAGGTTTATCTGAAGCTTTATATATATAGGGCCATCTTGTGGATCTTGTGCAAAGAGAGGTAAAACAACTTCTACAATCTGCTCTTGAAGTAGCTCTTTCAGTGGTTCGTGCAAATCCTACTGTTTTGGAGGGTCTAGGGGCTTATTTGGAAGGTAAATGATATTCACTTCTTTCTAGATGGTCTTACTCGCGTGCATACTTTTTTCCTTTGAAACTGCTATGCTGAAATTTCTCCTAGTATAGTGTATGATCTTACTTGTCTGTATGTAATGAGGATCATGATTTTACATACTTTGTATGTTAATGCCATCTGTTTGCATGGTTTTTATACCACGACTTGCTTCTCAAGTAGCAAATCATTTTATCAAAGTAAGCCTTTCAAGTCACTGATTATACTAATGGCAGTTTTATGATCACTGCTTAGTGGAAACGATGATTAAGTATATGTTATGATTCACCAATTGTGTTGGTCAGGAACAATGATATAATTAGATGCTGTGCATGCAGACTCTTTAAAGCTTTGGTTTAAGACTACATGTAGTTCTTTAAGTAATCAAACTCAATGAAACTTGTGGCTTCTATTATCTAGTGATGAACACTGGTCGCGTCCTACTTTGATAATTTACAACACGTGGAGCAGTATATACCTTTGCAGTTCCCTGTTAAGGAGCTCTGTATTTTGAGAAAAGATCTCAACAGCACTTGAAAATAATTACCATACAACAGACACATAATTTTCATCAAAGAGTTCAGTGCAGTTTAGACTGTGATCTGTTTCATGTCTTTCATTTGGTTACCAGCTAGTTTCTGCATTTCGGTGAGAAGTGATTAATAATAATAAAGCTATAATGATGGGTTTAAGGATGGTGTTTCTTATAGGCAGACGCTTGGCAAAATTTTCTCAAAACAATATCCTGTTGATGACTGAGTGCTCGTTTCAGATTTCTTGGAGGTGCAGCCTACAGCAACCTACACATTTACTATATTGTGGAATTATAAGAAAAGGAACTGATGACAAGGCAGTGCCAATTAAGGAAATATTATATCAAGTTATATATCTGTTCTTCAGTGCATGATGCCTGTAAACGTATGGCTAGATTCCATAGTATGTGGCATTAACATCTTGGCATCATTTTGGCCTTGCTTTTATTGTTAAGAGTCTTCTTTTGCCATACTCTTAATTGGTATAGTAGAGAAAATGGGTTTTATAAAATAGTTTAATTTCATGTTTATATGCATGATTTCTGTAACTTCTTTCAGTTATCATCATTTTTTTAGAGAGATAATAAAAATTCTTCCGCTGTTTTCAGAAAAAGAGAAGGTGGAGGGCGAAGAGCTGCAGAAGTGGCTGAAATTGGTTGAAGTCCCAAGAGAATTGAGAACATTTTTAGAAGGCCAACGGCAAAACCTTCTCCCTGTCAAGGCGAACTCCTGACAAGTTCTACACTTGGTCTTCATTGATCAAGTTTACCTAAGTGGTTTTTCGACCCTTCATCAAAACATGCTGCAGAGAACATAACAGGCTGCTATAACTGGTGGCGTTTCTTTTTGGGGGAGCCTAGTGGGAAGGATAATGACATTCTTGCCTACATCTGTGATGATACAACTGCCCTTTGGATTTTTGAAACCTCTGGTCAAATTCTATTACTCCTTGGAATCAACGAGTCCATTTATTGACCTATTTCGGTTACTTTAATTGACCTGAGGTGGTTTGTGTGGATAGCAAGTGATATGCAAAGCTATACGACTGATCCCCACCACTCGAGACATAGGTTTACGTAGGTATACGGATGTATTTGTTGTACACTAGTATTCTTGTGCACAATTCGGCAATTGTGCAGCGAGTACACATCATTTACTAGATCAGTTCTTGCCATATTGTTCAAATGATGTATCTGGGTATATACAGTTAGGGCTTTGTTTTACAAGTGAACACTAGCTGGCTACGCTGAAAGCAAGCTGCATACGCAGTTATATACCAATTAATTTAACTCCTGTGATGCCTGAGTGCCTGGAATGTATATTCATTCTTGATATGCTTTGCGCACGATGTCCGCAGTGTTGTTGGTCCAGGGATCTATTCGGGAGGAGATACCACACTTGCCCCGGCAAACTCCACCGATGTTGCTGACCCCATTTAATCATCCGAGACCTTTTGATGAGCTACGAAGGATGAAGCCCTTGAAAAGATTGCAGAATTCTGACAATAGACTGCAATTAGGTACCAAACTAGTGTAGGATTAGGCTCATGTCTGGACGATGATACGGGTCGTGACCCGCTCACGATAAGGTAATTTAATCCGAATATTCCATAAAGGAACTAGTGTGCATTTCATGCAAAGCATGACCTAGTACTTTTTAAGCACTACATTTTAAACTTACCCCACTCTAAGTTTTAATTCATTTAATTTAATTATTGTAGCTTAAAATTAGAAATCATACCTACGAAGAATGATCTACATCCTCTATACTTGTAGCATGAACCGTAAGTCTTTGAATTTCCTTTTTTTAAGCGCGCGTAGAGGAGTAGATTTGGGCTAATCCGTAGTATGGCCCAGCGATCTCCTTCAGTGATCACCACGCTCCTCTCCTCCCGCTCCAAAACCGACGAGGAGTTCATCGAGCGCTGTTCCAAGGGGTATCTCAAGCAAGCCCTCCAAGGCTTTCTACCGAGACTGCGCTCGGACCCAAATCTCTTCTCGCACCTCCTCCGAGGATGCTGCACCCCGAAGCAATCCCTCTCCCAAGGCCAGCAGCTCCACGCCTTCATCATCGCATCCGGCGCCTCTTCCGACCGATTCACATCCAATCACTTGCTGCACATGTACTCCAAGCTTGGGCAATTGCAGGCCGCCTTAGCCATTTTCTCGAGGATGCCGAGGAAGAACGTCATGTCCTCCAACATCCTCATCGGTGGCTTAATACACAATGATGATCTTGACACCGCCCGTAAGTTGTTCTATGAAATGCCCGAGAGAAACCTTGCATCGTGGAATGCAATGGTAACTGGGCTTACCCACTTCGGGCTCGACGAAGAAGGTCTGGGGTTATTTGCTAGGATGAGGGAAGAGGGGTTTCGACCCGATCAGTTCAGTTTGGCTAGTGCGTTGAGGTGCAGCGCCGGGTTGAAAGACATCGGTTCTGGCAGAAGGATTCATTCGTATATAATTCAGTCAGGTTTCGAGCGTGATTTGTGCGTTGGGAGCTCGCTCGCTCACATGTACATGACGTGCGGATGCCTCGAAGAGGGCGAGAAGGTGTTGAAAGGGATGCCCGTGCTTAATGTTGTTTCCTCGAATACCGTAATAGCTGGGAGGGTGCAGAATGGTGATTCTGAAGGAGCGCTTGCCCACTTTCGGCTGATGAAAGCTGTGGGTTTAGCACCGGATGAGGTCACTTTCGTTGGTGCTATCAGCTCGTGCTCGGATTTGGCATCCCTCTGTCTGGGCGAGCAGGTTCATGCCCTAGTAATCAAAGCTGGAGCTCACTCTGTTGTTGCAGTGAGGAGTTCACTTGTCAGCATGTACTCGAGATGTGGGTGTTTGAGCGGTTCTGTTCAAGTATTCCACGAATCAGATGATTCAGATTTTGTGTTGTGGAGTGCGATGATAGCAGCCTATGGCTTCCATGGGCAAGGGCTGGAGGCTATTGAACTTTTCGAAAAGATGGTTGCAGCGGGAACAGAGCCAACTCATGTCACATTCTTGAGCTTGCTCTATGCTTGTAGTCACAGTGGGTTGAAGGACAAGTGCGTGGAATATTTCAATCTTATGGAGCAGAAATATGGACTGGTGCCTTCGCTGAAGCATTACACATGTGTCGTTGATCTCCTTGGACGATCAGGTTGTTTAGACGAAGCTGAGGCTCTGATCAGATTAATGCCCCACCGAGCTGATGCCATAATATGGAAGACACTGTTATCAGCCTGCAAGACACACAATAATGCAGAGATGGCTGAGAGGTTGGCTGAACGTGTTTTGACGTTGGACCCCAGGGATTCTGCTTCATATGTGTTGCTTTCAAATATTCGAGCCTTGGCAGAGAGATGGAGTGATGTTTCTGATGTTAGGAGAAGTATGAAAGAAAGAAGGGTGAAAAAGGAGCCTGGTGCTAGTTGGTTCGAGCTCAAGGGTCAGGTTCATCAATTTTCCGTGGGAGACCGATCGCATCCGCGGCAAAGAGAGATCGAAGTGTTTCTGAGAGAATTGATGGCTAGGATCCGGCAATGTGGTTATAAACCTGAGACCAGTATGGTTCTGCACGATATGGATGACGAGGAGAAAGAGTGCAGCTTGGCTCAGCATAGTGAGAAGCTGGCCGTTGCCTTTGCGTTAATGAGTTTGCCTGCTGGAGCTGCAATCAGAATTATGAAGAATTTGCGCGTATGTGACGATTGTCATGTTGCCATTAAGTTCATATCGAAGGTTACAGAGAGGGAGATTGTGGTGAGGGATGTTAGCCGATTTCATCATTTCAGGGACGGGAAATGTTCTTGTGGAGATTACTGGTGACCGGCAAAAGCCGCAAAAGAGATTTAATTCATGCCGAAGAAAAACAGAAAGACTAGTTAGTCTATTTGATTGATCGCTAAGTTGGGTACGGAGAAGAGGCACAGAAGTTCTTTAGGAGTCCAAACGAGCAGGAAAGTCGGGTAGAAGATCGTTATGTACGCAGAGTTGGAGGGGTGCACCATACCTGCAGCATTGACTTCAAACTCTTCTGCTTCATGCATATGGTTCTCCCATTCTTTCAGTTTGAATTTAAGATAAATATGATTGTTTTGATGGTGGATCAAGGAATAAAAAGAACCAACTTTTATCATCATCTTCAGTTAGATTAAACGGATAAGCGAATGAGGGGGTGAGTAAGCGAAGGTTCACGATTGATAGCTCGCAACTCGCAAGTTGTTGTGCATGACTGAAGATAATTGGTGAATAAAAATGAAGACATTTTCGTACAGCGTCGTCGTTGTAGTATAGTGGTGAGTATTCCCGCCTGTCACGCGGGTGACCCGGGTTCGATCCCCGGCAACGGCGAAAATGGTTTTTTTAAATATATATATATTTTTTCCCCTAAGAAGGCATTAAACTTTAGATAATTTTTTATTTGTCATATATTGTAAAAAAGTATTTACTTTTAAATATCAAAAATTATCTTCGAGGAATGTATTTTTATCTTCCAAAGTCTATGTACTTCAAAGTTTCGCCTTTATATCATACTAGTTCTTATGCACGTGCAATGCACGTGGTTAAATACCACAATTATTATTTTTTGTTTATTTTCTTACTATAAAATAAGTCATTGCTCATGTTATGCACCTACACTCGATTCGTTTGTGACTTCCACATTTTTCTCGCATTCTGGTTTGAATTGCTCATGTTATGAACCATTTCCCTACTCGCAACTAGTGTTAGATCTGAGCGTGATTAAATCATAGAGATTAAACATTAAGAGCGGAAGCTTATACCTGAATCCATGGATTGGACTTGAGATGAGTTTTGGATCTTCTAATCTTAGGGTTTTTTTCTCCTTAGGATCTCTTTAGATGGGGATAAGAGAATGAGAGTGACTAACCCTACATTAGGGACCATAACCCCATATATATATGTGTTGTACATTTATAATTTGGCCCCTCATCAAATTACAATTATAACCTGGTATCTGCACATATAACCCCATGATTTATTTAAATACCCATTAACCCAAATTGATTGATCACTTTAAGTGGGTTATCCTTAAAGATAGCAATACACATTGATTAATCATATGTGCCCACAATTAGATTTAATTAGATTTAAATCAAACAACTAGAACTTTCAATATGCCTTGATTATTTGTATCGCAGGAGCTCGAAGGGGAAACTATCGGCTACGTATCCTGATGCCTTCCCAGATGTTTCAAAGACGACCCTACTGGACCAAAGACCTAATCTTGAGAGGCCTCTCCAGCAGTTGTTGAGACTTCAAAAATCGACAACATCTAAATGAAGCTGAGGCATAAAAACCGACATGGATGGGAGTTTTCCATTGTCGTTATTATTTTAACTCTAGTTCTTGTGCACGTGCAATGCACGTGGTTAAATACCACAATTATTATTTTTTGTTTATTTTCTTACTATAAAATAAGTCATTGCTCATGTTATGCACCTACACTCGATTCGTTTGTGACTTCCACATTTTTCTCGCATTCTGGTTTGAATTGCTCATGTTATGAACCATTTCCCTACTCGCAACTAGTGTTAGATCTGAGCGTGATTAAATCATAGAGATTAAACATTAAGAGCGGAAGCTTATACCTGAATCCATGGATTGGACTTGAGATGAGTTTTGGATCTTCTAATCTTAGGGTTTTTTTCTCCTTAGGATCTCTTTAGATGGGGATAAGAGAATGAGAGTGACTAACCCTACATTAGGGACCATAACCCCATATATATATGTGTTGTACATTTATAATTTGGCCCCTCATCAAATTACAATTATAACCTGGTATCTGCACATATAACCCCATGATTTATTTAAATACCCATTAACCCAAATTGATTGATCACTTTAAGTGGGTTATCCTTAAAGATAGCAATACACATTGATTAATCATATGTGCCCACAATTAGATTTAATTAGATTTAAATCAAACAACTAGAACTTTCAATATGCCTTGATTATTTGTATCGCAGGAGCTCGAAGGGGAAACTATCGGCTACGTATCCTGATGCCTTCCCAGATGTTTCAAAGACGACCCTACTGGACCAAAGACCTAATCTTGAGAGGCCTCTCCAGCAGTTGTTGAGACTTCAAAAATCGACAACATCTAAATGAAGCTGAGGCATAAAAACCGACATGGATGGGAGTTTTCCATTGTCGTTATTATTTTAACTCTAGTTCTTGTGCACGTGCAATGCACGTGGTTAAATACCACAATTATTATTTTTTGTTTATTTTCTTACTATAAAATAAGTCAAATTCATTTTGAGTTAAAATCTATAAACATGGATTATTACATTTATAATAAATTTTATTTAAACATTTTTGAAAAATTTATGAAGTAGATGATTAAATTTAAAAATCTTTTGGAGTCAGGAATAAACAGCTAACAAGTTTGCAGTGGAAGCTAGGGGAATATAGTACATTCCTAGGAGTTATTAATCTTTACTTAGTTTGTTTATAATGATATGATAATTAGTTTGTTTAAAATGATATGATCTCATTATTAACTAACTACAAGACCTGCTATATTTTTTGTTAGGCACATGTGAGTCCTCATCGCAAAGAATATTATATAATTTAAGTACAAAAAGAAAAAGACAGGTTGATCAATGATATAGTTGGTGATGAGAAACTCCAACAACTTAATTTGGTATGTGGATATATTATAGATAGAGACGGAGAAGGGTGGTTTTGAAAATAGTAGGTGCGTGTGGGTAATTAATATAGTTTTCGTTTGTGTGATTTTTTCGTTCATTTTCAAGATATCTGTGGTCCTGTGGATATATATAACTATAGCATTGCTATTCTCTTTTGATTTTGTGGAAGAATTTGGTGTTAAAAAAAAATTTAAATTATCTAATTCGGTTAAAGTAGGATCATATAAATTAAGCCCATATATAAAATTTATTTTAACCAATACCCATGTGTAATTATTATAATTGACATTGAGATCTAAAATATGTGTGAGATTCTCTTTGACTTTTATACAAATAATATCTATTTAAATAATAGTAGTATAATTAAACTTTGTGATCTGAAAAAAGATCAAACATACAATATAAGTAATTGCTGTAAAATACTCTAATCTAATCTAATAAGAAGAAAATAGATAAAAATAATGTGAAAATTATTGTAATTTTATAATTTATAATTTTTAAACAATTTAATCTAATCTAATAAGAAGAAAATAACAAATGGACATACCTGTTGAAAGAGATAAAAGTACTATGAAAATTATTATAATTTTTAATTTGAAAAAAAGATCAAACATACAATATAACTAATTGCTTTAAAATAATCTAATCTAATCTAATGAGAATAAAATAGATGAAAGTACTGTGAAAATTGTTGATATATATTGATATGAAAAAAAAATAAATATACAATATAATTAATTAATTTAAAATAATCTAATCTAATCTAATAAGAAGAAAATAACAAAGATATATATCTGCAGAAGGAGGTGAAAGTGCTATAGAAATTATTGTAATTTCTTGGCTTATATACACTGGTATGTGATGTTGTAGGTGAGAGGATAACAATTATAAATAAAGTTTTATTTAAATAATAAGAGTATAATTAAACTTTAAAACTAATTATGCAGTACCATGAACTACTTGAATTTTTGTTGGCGAGAGATCGCCACGTTGTGTCCTCGTATCGTAGCCGTTTGTTTTAAAAAAAAAATTATAATTTTGAGAATGATTTTGCCTCTTTAATTTGTTTGGTGGATTTTGAAAATACCTCATCCACATTATGTACATTTGTAGGTCTGTACTATTCCTTGGTTCGACCTTTAGGGCGGACATTATTTTTCTTACTAATTTGTTTGGTTTTTGCATATACGCCCTTTATTTTGTATATATTTATAAATTTGGTATTTAATAATTTCGTTCAGGTTTACATTTCGATTTAAATTATATCATTATCTTCATACTACGTATATCCAATAAAATTTCATTAATTTATCAACTCACTCTTACTTAATGGATTACTATTTGAATTTCAAATGTATTTTTGTCTATCAAAAGATTTTCTCGAACTCGTGCTTTTAAAGAGAGTATGATATGATATGATATGATCAGATCATACTACCTTATTTTGAATCGACTAAACCATTATTTTTGGTGAAAATTTTACTAAAATTTTCGTTCTACTTGAAATTTGGTCAGATTAATTTCGTTCCTTTCACATAAGTAAATAATAAATAAATTGATTAAGGAAAGGGAAAGAAAACGGAAAAGCGAACGCGAAAAAAATAAAAATAAATTAAATTAAATACTCCCCTTCTTTCTCCGCACCGTACGCCTTCCTTTCCTCCCGTCCCGAAAACCCGCAGGCAAATCGCATCGACAGCAGAAGCCAGTCGGTCATGGCGCTCCCCTCGCCCACCTCCTCCACCTCCTGCCGCCCCAAACCCCTCCCTCGATCTCGAAGTCACCGTCGTCTGCCGCGAAGCACCTGAAGAACGTCAATTGGCGGAGCGGCGACTCTAAGCCCTACGCCGTCGCTACCTCGATCCCCGACGCCCGCTCGCCACCAGGCCCGACGATTACGGATCCACAGCCCCGTGTGGAACGAACGCCTAACCTCCCTCCCCGGCTTCAGCGGCGCGCGGCGGGGCGCGGCGCCCCCCGCACTCCCAACCCCAGCCCTAACCCTAACCCTGGATGTTTTCCAGCTCCAAGCCTCCGAAACCCCCAAGCCCCTGGTCGGCACCGCTCGCGTCCCCTCAGGGCTCCTCGACCTCGACGTCGCCTCCTCCCACCCACTGCGGGGACACTCCGATCATAACCCTGGAGCTCCGCGCGCCCTCCGGCCGTTCCGCACGGCAAGGTCCGCATCAAAGAGTCTCCCTTCGGGAGGCGCCCCCTCCTCCCCCCCCTCCTCCTCCGCGCCCCAGCGACTGAGCAGAGCTACCAGCTGCCCGGCTACTACTACCCCGCCCCCCCCTGACCTTCCTTCCTCCTCTCTCTGTCCCGGGACTAGCCGCACCTTCTCCCCGCCGCCTCCCCTCTACTCCACTATGCGAGCCAGGCCCCGATTGCCGTGCCGTACCCCTCTCACCACCAGCTCTTGGCGGCTACTGCCGATCCTTACTCCGGCTACTACTCTCGCGTGCTGGGTACTATACCGGCTCCGCCTGCCCCCTGCTCTAGGCCCATGTTAGGCTACGATCTCCGGCATAATTATGGAGGCCGTCTGCGCCTGCGACGTACTCTCTTCTTCTCATGAGCAGGCAGAAGGCAAGGGCCGAGGATTGGGAATGGGGACGGGGTTGATGCGGTGGGCGCAGTTGCTGGAGCTTTGGGCGGGCTGGCACTGGAAGAGGGTGCCAAGTATGAGGAGGAGAAGATTGCGGAGAGGGTTGAGAGCAGTTTGGCCGCAAGGGATGATTACAGCGACTATCGTGCTGATTACTGAGCGGATTTATCAAAGCCAGGTAATGTTTAGGGCTGGTCGTGAAGGAGGTAAGATCGAATAAGTTTTACTTTAATTTGATTTTCTCAAGCATGAAGTTATGTATTGTGTATATAAGCCTGTCTATGTTTTCTTTCTGACGATTTGATGTTAGTTCAGTCTTAGCTCGTGCAAGTGCGAGTGTCGTCTACTTGTGTTGCTGAAAGACCTTCTGGTTTCCTTAAATGTAGAATCATACATTATGCTTGTTCTGAATGTAACTTTATTTATAACTATATCTTTTTGGTTTGTGTCCATTGAGTGATAACTGTTTCAGTGTTACCGCTGTGATGGAACATCTTGCTAAGTGAACTTCTTAAATTCTGTTATAGTGCAGTCTTTATTGCCTTTCTTCACTTATTACATTCCACACACAGTCTGATGTGTGCTATGTGCTTCCAAGTAATTTTTATGATTGAACATGCATGAGGAAAGTGGC